GTGGCTGTCGATGGAAGTGATGTGGGTGTTGGTGCTATTCTCTTGCAAGAAGACAACGAGAAGATAGTATTACTGAATATTCATCAATAGAGAAATATTCCACAATTGAGAAGGAGACCTTGAGTTTGGTGTTGGCGTTGCAACATTTTAACACTTTTTCTATTGCCTGTAATGTGTCTGAGACAATTATATATACTGATCATAACCTTTTAAAGCTTTCGCAAAAATTTAAGGATAAAAATTTCAGTCTATTTAGATGGAGCTTATCATTCAATTTGAAAATTATGCACATGGCAGAACAAGAGAATGTAATTGCCGACACATCACAACTGTGAAGAAGGAAGACGGAGGTGAACAGTGGCAAGAAAAGGATGGATTGAAACAGACTGTAATAGTGAATGTTTGCGTGCTTAGAGTCAATGTAATGTATGTGTATTGCAGTGTTTAATAGCATAAGACTAAAGGTTTTTGAAAATGAAACTATCTTTGTATATTGATGGTTCATTTTTTTTTTAAATGGGGGTGATGTGTGATGATACCTTGGCTTTAAGAGGTGTTTTTTATCCTTTTTTTTATGACGAGAGAGTGAGACGGAGGTGCTGATCAGTCTGTTCCGAACCAATAAAGTAGACAGCTTGTGAGGCTTTGGAGTTTTTTAGAAGTTGGAACAATAGAAGCAGCGTGAAGGGATGGGGGTCAAGCTCCCAGAGAAGCAGTTCAAATATTTTGGCTGTGTGCTGGGAACAAGTAGCTGGTGTCTTGAGAGAAATTATAGCCTAATGCAATTCCTAAAGATCCAGAGATACAAATGATTCGTCCAGCAAATATAGAGACTAACAATATCCCTGAAGCTAGAGTTACTGCAAATCTTCAGTGCCAGAAGAGGTGACAATATTACCCGCACAGCTGGAGATGCTGAATATTGGCCCTATGTGGAGAACATGAAATGTGGACATTACCTCAGGGTTCAAAAATGGTGGCAGTTTGAACATCACAAGCAGGACTTGATCATTCATGGGGTTAATTTGTATGGTGGTGGGTTATTCATGTAACAGTAAAACATAGTCAAATTGTGTTATTATAGTCATGTCAGTGTCCTTGGACAACTAACCAGAACAGTGCTCAGCTGCACGATTCTCCTCACATAGATCACTACACTTTGGTAACTTGGAAGCACCACTTGACTCAGTGTGGTACTAAACCCTATCTTCTGCTCAACATTGGTGCAGTTATGTTAAGAGGTATTTCTCGATGAGCAATGTGCTTGGAAAAGGGAATCACTTGGAGTTTGAACAAATTGGTGAGGTCGTTCCAGAAGGTGGATAGAATCCTTTCTTTTAGCTCTGGCACAGGTGGTTATGCTGAAACTGTATAAATCATTTACTTAGGCCCCCAATTAAGTAGTGTGTACAGTCTTGGTCATCTTAATGCAAAGGAAGTAGTTGGACTAGGGAGAGTGTAGAAGAGATTTATGGGGATGTTACCAGGATTGGAAAACTATAGAAAGATTTGATAGGTTGGGGTTGTTATGCTTGGAGCAGGCAATTCTGAAGCCAAGTTTGATAGAGATGATGTGTAAAAGTTTGGGGGCTCTAGACTGAGTGAATGGAAAGGCCTGCTTAGTTCAGCAGAAAATTCAGATGAGAGGGTATAGATTTAGTGATTGGAAGCATTAAAGGGGTGATGAAAAATGTTTTTCACCCAGTGGGTGTTTGGGTCTGCATCTCACTTACCGGAAGGCTAGCAGAGGCAGAAACCCTCAGTTTGTTTATAAATTGCCTGGGGTATAAGCCAGTTGCTGGAGAGTGGGATTAATCTATAAGGCTCATTGTTCAGCTGGCACCAATACGAAGGAACAAATGGCCAAATTCTCTGCCCTAAACGTTTGATTTTTTTGAGTCACTCAACATCACAAAAAGGTAATGATCTGGGTGTTATTACAATGTTGTTATGGAAACATGCTATCAGTGACTACGCTTCAAAAGTACTTCCTTATTAGTGAAACCTTTGAGACATCCGGTAGTCATGACAAGTCCAGTAAAATGCAAGACTTGTGCTTTTAGCTGCCTATCATGCTTTTCAACCAGTAACCACCTTTAGTTTTTTGCAGTCCAGATGCAATTTCCTGTATTCTCAATTTGGAATCATCAGCGTTTGACTTTGCTCGCTCAGCCCTGACCATTTTTGTATTTAGTAACGGAGTGGTCCGCCAAAGAGACCTTCACATCTTTCCATTATGAAAAGTTTGTTCTTTCCCCACCTACTCTTTTCCTTCTATCCTCTAATAAGCTTTATTTCTGTAGTCTAATATTCCTAATTTCTAAATGTATTAATATAAATTCTCTATTTAGGATTATTTTGGCTCTACCACTCTTGATACCCAAGCTTAAAAAGCAATGACAGCATTGGCTGTCAAGTTATCATTTGTTGAAAAGTTGATTTAGAATGTATTCAATTAATGTGTATTTTTCACCACCCTCATTCACCAGCTCCCTAAGAAGAAAATATACAAACTTTATTTGCCACCTTTCACTGAATGCTTGATTTTGGAGTCTAATAAATCTTCTTTGTGAAATGCTTCTGTAGTTTCTAGGAGGTAGTTAACAGACAACTATTTTACTTGTTTGATCTCCTTTTCCTTATATAAGGATACTCATGGAAGTTATCACTGGTTCCCAAAAATGTAGTTATACTGCAATAGTTCTAATAATTCTCTACATAGCATAGATCTAGTTGGCTATACAAGTTAATGTACACTGTGCTACAGTGCAGTGCTAAGCATCCAAGTAGTAGCAAGAGGAATTACAACCCTCAAATGCCACATAACAAATTAAGATCAATCGAGAAAGATATCTGAACCCATTTCCAAAAATTTCAGAAGTCTTTAACAAGACCTTTCTGTACTTAAAACAGCTTTTGTATTTTGATACAATTCATTTTTGTGATGCCGTTCTTTGAACTGATCAAAACGTTGAAAGAACCAATTCTAAATTAGGCCAGTTCTTCTTGACAAGTTATCATTAAGTCAGACTTTAACCACAAGTGGTTGCAAGTCAATTGCACTTATGAACATTTAAAGCAGTTTACTATCACATTGCTTATAACATTTAAAATGTTGCAATTCTTAAACATGTCCAAAGTTATAAATATTGTCACAACTTAAACCGGAAGTGTATGCTGATAATTGTGTCCTGCTGTCCCACAAGGCACCACAAAATATATAAATATATTTAAGTTCCAATGAGACCACCAAAATGACCAATTTCCCTTCCTGACTGCTACCAGGTTTTGACAATAATACAAAACAACTTGTTATTGTATCACAATATGCAAAAATGCAAAAGAACAGAATTTCTAATTTACTACTGTACCACTTATTTGAACCCCCTACATATACTCAATTTGACAGACACAAGGCAAGTGTTTAACACGCATTATGGGTTTAAAAAAATAAGAACCTTGGCGGGATAAACAAAATTCCAAAGATTAAAAGTCTAGACTGCAAGGTATAGAAAGTTATTTTCTGTCAGTCCTTTTGATTTTATCAATAATAAATGCTGTTGGCTATAGGGTAGCTGTCTTGCTTTAGTTCAGTGGTTGATCAGGTGGACCTAGGTCTTGTTAGAAATTTTTTGGGATTTTCTGTCTTTTTTCCACATGGAGAGGGAGGGAGAGATGGATGCTTTCTGTCTGCAGGGTCTGGATGTTTCCTTCTCTCTGCTTCCCTCGTACTTGTAGCATTTTAGCACACTGCAAGGCATCCAGACACTTGGTGCCACTTTGTCTCATATTTTTCTCTTCACTGCTTCAGAAAGCAATACAGTATTATACAATTCTGAAATATGCAGCATTTGATTTTCACGTTGCAAAACTCTCCGTGTATCTCAGTTTTAGTAATGCAACTTTGATTTCAGTTCATATTCCCAAAGGGAAAATGTGTGGTCTTTTGCAATGTAATAATCAATATTTAAAGCTTTAACTTAGAAACCAGAAACATGAATAAGCAGTGTTTTTGGTATCCTTGTTTATGTGGATGAGCTAATGGCATTCTTTAGCAGTTCAAACCAAGTTCTTGTTTTGTTGATTCTTTTCCTCATCTCCCTTACGGCATTCTCTCCTAACGTGGGATGCATGTTCAGGCTGTCCTCCCCCACTCAAGTGACCATTCTCCGGTGGGAATTTTGACAGTTGGTGTGGGAAAGCTAACTAGAAATGGCTATATTAGTCCAAAATGGAAAAGTGGGCACCCCTCAAGAACCCAAAATCCTATTTCATTTTCCTCTGCTTAGGGCACAGCATCCATTCTTTTGCTCTAACTGCTATCAGTATCTCAAACAAACAAAAACAGAAATTGCTAGAGAAACTCTGGAGATATGGCATCATCTCTGCAGAGGAAACAGGGTTAATGTTTCAAGTTCAGTCACCCTTCTTCAGAACTTAGTCTCTCAAAGTTGGAGTGAGACCAGGTTGCCTGTATGATTCAGTTATTCAAAATTAATGGTCACAGCTGCATCAGTACTTCGATTCACTTTGAATTTTGGGGTCAGTGAGATTGAATTTTACATTTTGGAATTCAGATCTGGGTGGGAACTTAATTTTTCACTCTGAACTAAATGTACAACATGATGTGAAGTACACTTTTGAAGTTCAAGCTCTGAGGATTCTAACAAGTTTAGAGTCAACTGAAGTGTCTTTTTGTAAGGACATACTCTGGTACTGCAATACACCAGTAGATCAGTATTGAGGTGAGTGAAGTGGGATGGACTGTGTGGATCATCCTTGAACATCATTCCACACTATCTGAACTTTGGAATTAAAGTAATGAATAGTGCACTGACCTGATGCATGGAACCTTGGTGTAATTACAAAGTGGAGTAGGCCAAAATTGCTTTGTGAATTTACCCTGAAGTATTTCTAGAAGCTCTAAAGGTTTAATTATTTACCTTCAAAATGCACTACTTAGTTCCTGAAATGTATCACTTATTTTTCATTTCCTCCAGAGAAACGGCCCTTCTGATTGATCCCAAAAACTCCTGCTCTTCGTCGAAGCAGTGGGTCGCTTTGGTAGTCGGCCATGAACTTGCTCATCAGTGGTTTGGAAATCTAGTCACCATGGTAATGTTCAAATTTTTGGAAAATAGTGTATTTGTGAAAACTCAGTTTATCTTTGATCCGTTTTAAGTACGACACTTGTCTCCAGGCAAAGTCCTGCCTGCAACACAGAATTTCAGTGTGCCAGTGAACCACTGTTCAGGATAATTCACGGTTCAATCACTATTACAAAGTCTGATTCAAGCTAAAAGCAATAGGTGTTACAGATTACGGAAGGTAGTAGATTTTAGTTCTCTGAAGTCTGTCTTTTTAGGTTGTAATGAAGTGTGTGATACTAAGTTTCGAAGTACCTCAATTATTCTTCGCTCGTGTGTTTAACAGCAATTGAATTACCTGGTGTGTGTCTGACAGAAGGTGATGAAATTTCTTTTTCTTACCTCAAAATGTTATTGTGAATTTTATTCCCACAGGAGCTTCTAAATTGAAACCTTTTACGCCTTCCATCTGTTCCCAGAATAGAATGAAAACAGCGAATGCTAGAAGCATTCAGCATGTCAGGTAGGATATGTGGCTAGAGAAGCAGTTAGCGTTGTAGGTCTGTGACTTGTCAGAACAGACCAACATCACCATGGTGTCATATATATCAGAATTTTAATGGTATTCAACCTGAAAAGTTAACTGTTTCTCTATCCCACAGATGCTGCCTAACCTGCTGAGTATTTGTTTGTATTCTATATATCCAACATGAGAATAATTTTCAGAGATATTGAGGTTATGCCAGCCAGTGTTAAAAATGTGTACCGGTGCATTCATATCATAAGTGCATATTGTGTCACGCTTTAAGCCAAACTGACATGCTCGATATACATTGACAGCATAACCTGGGCAGCACAAGTTCTATTTGTGTATCTGTATATGTTGTCTGCTGACCTAAGGAGTTGAATTTCTGCAAGTACTTAAGTGTAGGCAGCAACATTGGAGTTTGAATATTGTTGTGCCACTGCCAGATCACACTTCACTAAACATAAGCAAAAGTAGGGGAGGCAGTGGCAGAGTGGTATTATCGCTGGACTGTCAATCCAGAGACCCAGATAACATTCTGGGTACTCTGGTTCGAATCCTGCCATGGCAGATGGTGGAATTTGAATTCAATAAAAATATTTGGAATTAAGAATCTAATGATGACCATGAACTCATTATTGATTGTTGGAGAAACCCATCTGGTTCACTAACGTCCTTTAGGGAAGGAAACTGCCATCCTTACCTGGTCTGGCCCACATGTAACTCTAGACCTACAGTAATATAGTTGGCTCTTAACTGCCCTCTGGGCAATAAATGCTGCCTGGTCAGCGATGCCCTCATCCCGTGAATGAATAATGAAAAAAAAGTAAGTCCGGTTAGGATTAGTATGAAGTCAGCAGCACTGTGCTAGGATTTTTGTGCAATGTTTGATTGTAACAATGTGAATTTATCGTATAAATCCAAATATAATAAGCATAACAGTTTACTTGAATCTGTTGGACTTTGTATTGAAGGCCTATCATGTCAACATTTTAACATTGGCTAAGTATGTTACTGGGCACCATTTTACTAGGTTCAAATTGGGAAATTAGAAACGAGTGGACCATTCAGCCCAGCGAGCCTGCAGTGCCATTTATTTAGATCATGGCTGATCTGTGGCCTAACTCCATATGCCTACCTTTGGCTATATTCGTTAATTTTTTGACAAGCGAAAGTATTATCTATTTCAGATTTAAAACTAACCACTGATCTAGCATCAACTGAATTTGTTGTGGAGAGTTCCAAACCTCTACCACTCTTTGTCTACAAAAGTACTTCTGACATTTTCTCCTCAAAGACCTAGCCCTAATTCTCAGATTATGCCCCCTAGTTCTAGAATCCCCAACCAGTGGAAATAGTTTGTATTTTATCTACCCTTTCTCTTCCTGTTAATATCTTGAAGAGTTCAATCACATCACCCCATAAATTACTGATTTTTAGAGAGTACAGGCCTAATTTGTATTATCTCTCTTCATAAACTTAACCCTGAAGTCCAGGTATCATTCTTGTAAATTTACTTCATACTCCCTCCAAGGCCAATATATCCTTGCTGAGGTGTGGTGCCCGAACCTGCTCGCAGTACTCAAGTGGGGTGTAACTAGGATTTTACATAGCTGTAGCAACTTAAAATCTTATACTCTGATCCTGGAGAGACAAAGGCCAGTATTCCAATGGCTGCCTTGATTTTTTTTTTGTTTGCAGTTGTTTGTAGCATTTTTAAGACCTATGCACCTGAGCCCCAAATCTCTTTGGACATCTGCTGTATTTAACTTCATACCACCTAGAAAGTACCCTGATCTATCCTTTCTCAGTCCAAAAAGGATAACTTCACACTTGCTTACATTGAACTCCATCTCCCACTACTTTGCCCATTCACCTCATCTATCAATATTCTTTTGGAATTTTATGCTATCATCTACACTGTCCACAAAGCTGCCTAAGTTTGTGTCATCAGCAACTTTGGATCTATAACTTCCAGTGCCGTTATCTGAGTCATTACAAATAAGGTGAATAATTGAGGCCCCAACGTAGATCCTGTTGGATACCACTGGTCACATCTGCCAATTTGAGTACTTACCCATTCTCTCTACTTTCTGTCACCTGCAACTCAACTGATTTCCCAACTGTGTCAGTAATTTGGTGTCAATTGCATGGTCTTCAACCTTAGTAACAGCCTCTTATGTGGAACCTTATCAAATCCCTTTTGAAAGTCCATATACACAACAACATCGATGAACATTGCATAGGGGAGATGATGGCCTAGCAGTATTATCACTCAACTGTTAATCCAGAGACCCAGCTAATGTTCTGTGGACCCAAGTTCAAAAAAAGCCATGGCAGATGAATTCAGTTTAAAAAAATAAAATAAAATAAATAAATAAATAAATCTGGAATTGAGAGTCTTATGATAACCATGAATCCAAAGTGAATTGTCCTGACGATTCAATCCGGTTCATTAATGTTCTTTAGGGAAGGAAACAGCAATCCTTAGCTAGTCTGGCCTATTGTGACTCCAGATCCACAGCAGTGTGGTTGACTCTTAACTGCCTTCTGGGATAGGCGATAAATGTTGGCCTAGCCTGCGATGCCATCATCCTCTGAATTTTTTAAAAAAATTCCCTGTCTACTGCTTTAGTCATCTGCTCAAAAAATACGAAGAACTTCGTCAGGCATGACCTACCTGTTATGACTCCATGATGGCTCTCCCTAATTATCTGAAATTTTTCAAGGCTCACTGGTCTGTAATTCCCTGGCTTTTCTCTTTCATCCTTCTTAAAAAACAGAGTGGCACGCAGTTTTCCAATCCAGAGGGACAGCTTCTGTATCTAGGGAGCTCTGAACAGTTATATTTGGGTCATCTACAATGTGACCCTGTACTTCATTTAATGCCATCGGATGAAAATTGTCAGGTGCTGGAGATTTGTCACACTTCAGTTCCACTAGTTTCCTCATTATCAGTGTTTTACTTGTATTAGTTTTATTCAATCCCTGTTCCTGATCCACTCTTTATTCCAGACGTGCACGAACTATCCTGCTTTGTTACTGTAAACATTGGGGCAAAATAATTATTCAGCATACTGCAGACGCTGGAAATCAGAAACAAAAACAGAAATTGCCAAAAAATGTCAGCAGTCCAGTAGCAACTGTGGAGTGAAAGCAGTTAACAATTCAGGACAAGTGAAGAAGCATCACTGGACCCAAAAAGTTAACTCTGCTTTCTCTTCAGATGCTGCCAAACCTACTGGGTTTTGCCAGCAATTTCTGTAATTATTTAACACGTCTCCCATTTCCCCGTAGTCATTGACAGTGTCCACATTTAGTCTTCAGTTGACCAACACTTTCCCTTTGTGTAATTGTAAAATTCCTCCTTATTCATTTTGATGAACCTTGCAAGTTTCCTTTTAATACTTTTTAGTAGCTGTTTTAAGCTGTTTTCTGGCCATTTGCTCATCTTTGTATCTTTCCTTGTTGGCAGGATCTGTGCTGTTTTTTGCATTTTTGTAAGCCCTTTTTAGTTTGTTATGGTCCAACAGGTTTATTTGAAGACATAAGTTTTCGGAATCTCGCTCCTTCAGATGTTAGTGAGAGAGGTGACATCACACACAGAATTTATAAGCAAAAGATCGAAGTGTCATCGAACTGATGTGAATGTATTGATCAAACCTAAGATAGCTGTTAAATCTTTAATCAGTTAGAGAGGAGATGCAGGTTTTGATTGATTGATATACAAATCCAAGAATTTCCATTAAGTCACTGCCCAAGGTAACTAAAGTTTTATCAGTATATTAAAGGTGACAGGTCAGGTCATACAACGCAATTTAGGTGTGAGACCTTGTTTAGAATCTGGCGGTGTATTAACTTGGAAGTCAGACTGGTTTTGTTCCTGAAGTATGAAATTATAAAATGCCACATTGTCTACAAATTGTGTGCCTTTTGAAAAAGAGAATGTACCTGCAAATTCGCCTCATAAATTTGTGTGTGTGGGGCGGGGGGGAAAGAAAGGGGTGGAGAGTGCGTATCCGTGCATGGGGGAGAGGGAGGGGGGACAGTGCGGGTGCATGTGTTGGGGAAGAGCGCGGATGCAGTGTGATTTTTGACCTTGTCCACCCCAGTCCAACGCCGGCACTTCCACATCATTTTTAGTTTATGCCTTCCCTTGTCTCTTTATGGGGGAAATGTCATCTTACTGAATGCTGGAGTGACTTGGGATTATAAGACAGCTATCATTACCAGTATGAATGCGCCTCGATAATGAATTGATAAATAAGGACATGTCAAGAATTAAATTTCATTCTTGAGTGCTAGATGAGATTGTTGCTATCTAACCTGAATAAAGTCATACAGCGTGGAAATGGACCCCTGGGAGCAACTCATCCATGCAGACCAAGTTTCGCAGACGAAACTAGTCTCACTTCATAGAGTAGAATAGACTCCCTACAGTGGGGAAGCAGATTATTTGCCCCATTGAGTCTACTCCAACCCTCCAAAGAGCACCCCGCTCC